GGAGTGAGCAGGTGGGTGGTGTTGATGTGTGCTCCTGTGGCCTGTGCAACATTTCTGTGCTCAAAACATTGTTCAGTCATCTCCTGGCTCTCCTGAAAGTATTCCTCCTACTCAGGTAATCAAGGCAGCTGCTGACATGGACAGAGAGAGAGTACTGAAGAAGTCCATTGAAATGAAATTCCTCACTGGCTATGAAATCAAGGTATGAAGCAGAAGGGTGTGATTTTGGTGTTGGCCACAGATAAAGTAGTTGTGGGTCTGTGAACTTTCCCAGATTTTCTGATGTGGTAAAAGTGTCAGTCCAAAAGCCCTTTTGGTAAGCATGAGGGAAGAGGGTAAAAAGGGTTTTGGCTTTTGTTCTCACTTTCTTTTGGGAGCAGGAGAAGTAATGAGGATACAACTAGCCTCAGAACCACTGTCCCTCCTTCTCTCCCCCTACAAGAGCCTGCAGGTGATAACAATTCCTGAAATTTCATGACTGGGAAGATAGTCTTCTGGAAGGTTTAATTGCTCTAAACTGTATGAACTAAATGTTCTGCACTCTTGCTGGGGGCTGGAGGTTCTCTTTGTCCTGGACAGGGCTATTTCTCCTGAGCTGCTGCTGTTAGCATTTCTGTACCTCCCAGATAGTTGTCATGGCTAGTGATGTTACTTATCCCTCTTTCCTTCTGGGCAGGAAATGGAAGATGCCCACTTAAATGCTGTCCTCATCCTGGGAGAGGCTTTTGCATCTGAGGAGCCCTTTGATTTTGGCAACCAAAGCACCACAGAAAAGATCCACGGTTTAATCCCAATCATGCTGAAGCATCGGCTCGTCCCCCCGCCGGAGGAGACGTATTCTCTTCATCGGAAGATGGGCGGCTCTTTCCTGATCTGCACCAAACTCAAGGCCAAAATTCCCTGCAAAAACATGTTCCAAGAGGCATACAGCAAATACTGGAGCAGTAGGGGCAAGAAGCCATAGGAGTAGTAAGAATGAACTTGTTCTGAGGGCCCGGTTCAGCTGAGCCTTGCAGAGAGCATTCTAAGCCTCCCCTGCGTTGCTCCCCAGCTCTCCATCCTCTTGAGATGCAGCAGCCCTGTGCCCTGGAAGCCAGATGTGCATTCCACGAGGACAAAGCTGCTCTTTCCTGATGTGTCTGTCCTACCTGGACTGCCAGCACAGCCCGCAGCTTGCAGGAAACTCTGAGTGCTTCTGTGCTGCTTCAGGGCACCAGCTGACTACCTTAAATACATTTGTAACATTGTGATGGTGGCTGCATATTTGAGAGGGTTTTATATAGGGAAGGAGGACAAGAGCAGAATTTAATATTGAAACCTATTTGTAATTCTCCACAAATTGTTTTTAAAAACCTTCCCTCTTTCGAGGTGAGGTGGAATTCAAGTAGTTTTCATACTGACTTTATAGAATGAAATACCAAGGTGTTCCCTACCCCAGACACATCCAGCACCTCCCCCACGTTTTTGTAAGTCAAGTGGTGGCAGTCTAAGAACCCTCCTGGATTCTAATGACATTGACTTAATGCAAGAGGCGTGTGTGTAAGTAGAAGTTTTATGCTTTCTGCCTCTTTTTGGCTTGCAAGCTAAACATAGGAAATATTTTAAAAGTCTGAGAATTGAGTGCCAGTCTCTTTTAAACACACACATACACACTCTCACAGCTCATTCTCAGTTCTGGGAGTCAAACATGCAATCAGCAGAGCTATATCTGAGCACAAATAGTGGGATTCTGCACTGTCTGGCAGGTATCAGCTTTCCCGAGGGCGAGTTAGATAAGCTACAACTCTCAACTCTGACATCCACTGCTTGCTGGACTCCTTACTAAGACCCTCCTTTGTGTGTTTCCCTGTAAGGCAGAACTTGCAGCAAGGCAGACAAACGTCGTGCCTGTGATGAGCAGCTCCAGCTCCCGCTGAAAGGTCACACAGTTCAAACCAGACGCACAGTTTTAATCTCTTGGAGTCAAGTTAGGAAATTGACTTTTGTAGGTTTTTGTACAAAGCCTGTACCTGTACGACTTCCTGATGTCAATAAACAAGTGCTTGTGCAGTGGGCCACCTGTCTGTGGCTGTGTCATCTTCTGGTGTGGGAATGGACACTCGGGTGAGCACTGTCCTGTTCTGGGGGATAAACAGCAGCTGAGCAGAAGCAGCTGCTCCCAGGTCTCCTCTTACTGCTGTTGTTTGCTCCAGGAATTGCTATGACCCTTGCCTGGCCATCCTGTTGCCTGTTCATGCCATGAAAATCCCTGGTACTTTACTTGCTTTTTAATCTTCCTTTGTTTTAATCACTCTGTTAGCAGTCTCTTGAACACAAATCTCTTTGCCTTTCCTCCGCTTGTGAAGGAGAGGCTCTTGCAGTTGAGGCTTACCTGGTGCTCATAAGGCAGGTGTCTTTTTCTGGCAGGTGCCAGGTATTTATTTACCAGCAGTCTCAGCTGGTCCTACTCAGATAATAGAGCTCAGCAATACCCAGGTTGTCTGATCTTACACCTCAGCAAGTGTGAAATCCTGACAGCTGATACTTCAGGGGGAAAGAACAGGTAAGTGAATAAATGGTCTCTCTCAGGAGGGACCTTTGAGAAATAGGAAAACAGGTTATGGTATTTGCTTTATTCCAAAGCCATAAACATATAAGCCACTTCATTTAAGACTTTGTTGAACAAGAGGCAGTGCAGTTTAATTCAAAATACCAATCAGATTATTCTTAACCCCATGAGAAGAGTTAACTCTGCTGTTCAGTGAAGTAATAGTTTTGCATCAAGCAGTTTATCAGTGTACAAAGTTACAGTAACTTTCCTTGTTTGGAGTTCTGATAGACATTGTTTAGTTTTTCTCCTTTGGCTCTAGACATTGCAGCTGTAAAAACAGGAGTTGTTTGAGCTGTTAAATGCTTATGTTAAAGTTTAAAAAACAAAGTATAAAAAGCTGACAAGGGAATTAGATTAGGTGAGCTTCAGAGCAGATTTTCTGAAACTGAAGATTCAAGGCCAGCATGTTCAGAGAACTTGCAAAGGTGGCAGAGTAAGCTAGAGCATTACAGTTCACTTTTCCAGTAAGCACTTGTCCATGTGATCCCAGATCTTGTGTATACCATGCTGGGGCAAGAGTGTTCAACTCCTGGCAAACACTTCCCTTCCCAAGAGTGTTTGGGAATGACATCCAGCTGAACAGCAGAGTTGTTTAGCATTTGCAAGAGGGTAGCAACTTGCAGAAGCTGAGATGTTGCTTTATTAGGAGAACTAATTAGAGCTCTCAGTCCCTAATTCTCCCGGCCTTTTGTGTATGCTCTGAAAACATTAATAATGGCTGTAGCTTTGGCCAGAGAGATTTGTGACAGAAGGAATTGTATGTCAGAGGAACAGCTGGGTACAAAACGTGAGCTAGAAACTGGCATCAAGTCAGAGAAGTGACATTGTACAGTGAGCAGGAACACTTGGTCTGTGCCAGCCACTGCATTTGCTTGAACTCTGCTTGCAGGGTTGAGGATGTGACCGTTTCAATGCTGCAGGACGCTTCTATGGTCTAGAAAAATCTCTTGTAAAAACATTTCTTCTTTGCACAGGGCAGGGCAAGCTGGAGATTAAAGCTGCCTCTAATGAAAGTGATTTTCCATTTTAAAGGCTCAAGATTCAGGCTACCTCTGGTAGCAGTGATTTTTCCTATCCTCTTTCTTTAGGCAACCTGGCTGCTGCATCAAAACAGGAAATGAATTCTGAGGAGCTGAACAGGAGGTGAACATGCAGTTCAGCTTCTGCTTTTCTAATGCCCAAATCCCTGACAGAAGGCCTATTTCCCAAGACCTTCACAGCTGTGATGTGCAAGTGGACCACTGGGAAATCAGAAATAAAACACTGATTGAAAAGTCAGAGCACAGGAACCAGGGTATGTCCCAGAGCTACAGCAGCTGCCTCAGTGGGATGAGCCATGGGCTTAAATCCACATGAACTGGTGTGAAGGGCTGAGAGAGTAAACATTTAGACTGAAGGAGAAGAACAGGAGTAAGGCAGCCTAAGGCCTTGGAAAAAGTGGGAAGCATGGTGCCTGTTCCTGGAATGGATTGCTGGTAGGCTTTGGTAATGGAAGAATGCCCTGGCTGGCAGCGTGGGATGAGCAACAGCCCAGTCCTGTATTCCTGCTGCAGGGGGGTGACTGAAGCAGGTACCAAAGCTAGGACTTACCCCAGAACCACTAAGGCTGGGAAAGGCCTCTAAGATCATCAAAGCCAATTCTGTTCACCATCAAACCATGTCCTTAAGTGCCATAGCCACACATCCTTTGAACACTTCCAGGGATGGTGACTCCACCACTTCCCTGGGCAGCCTGCTCCCATATTTCATATGCCTTCCTGTGAAGAAATTTTTCCTAATATCTAATCTAAACTTCCCCAGGCCCAATGAGGCCATTTCCAACATTGCACCAACAGGGGAATGAACGAAAGAGGAAGATTTACCAACACTGGTACAGGGAAAATTCCAGACTGACCTGTGAGGAACGGGTGGATGACAGGAAAGGGTCAGGACGCATGCAAAACTTCACAGGTATTCTGAGATGTACTTAATAGTATGAAGGTCAATGTGATTTTAGTAGCTCAACACTAACTAACAATCCAGCCTCTGACACTAGGACAGCTGAAACATTTGATGTGTAACTACAAATGAAGGAGGAACACCAAAAACAGGGACTACAACTACGTAACTACCTCTTTCTTAGGTCATCACAGTACAGCTGACCTAAGAAAAAGGTCAGGAAAACTGTAGTTCAATATAGCAAAGTATCCACTGACTCTGACTTTGTATTTTCCAAAGGCTCTGGTTATTTTTTCTGAAAGCTATTAAAGGGAATTTGATTTTCTCACATACTCCTTTTCTTCCCACTGTGCACTTGTGCAGATGTGTTAGAACCAGCATGTTGTATCTTCAACAGCACCATCATTCCCTTTTCCATTTCCTCCTCAAAGCTTAATGTGGGGAGGTGGGAAAAAAAGACAGAACATGTGCATTTCTAACAGTTCCCTGTTTTATTGCAGTACATCAAAGTAGGTTAATATTAAGTGTGTTACCAACATAAAATATTGGTGGTAAGTCATTTTTACATTGTTGACTGTTCCACCTTAAATATTTCTGTGCAAAAGAATCTACATCATTGTTCTGTAGCAGAGAATCTCTTACAATGTCCCCTACAACATTGAGGGCATTAAACAAAAGAGTGAGAAGAGGCAAAAAGCAGAATCTTTCCCCCACACGCACACTTGTCAGCTTTTATACTCTAAAACAAAAAAGTGATTACATCTATGCCATGCAAAACTGTACAATAATATTACAAGGAAAAACCTAAAAAACATATTTTAAAAATAAATGATATGAAACTGTCATACATAAAAAGGCAGGTATAGCAACACTGGTTTGTTTGTGGATTTCTTCCCTGTAGATGACTGTCTTAAATGGAGAATGAAAACAGGTTGTACTGAGCTGCAGCTGGAATGAAAGGAGCTGGAATTGAGGCTGGAAAGCCTGCAGCAGAATGGCTTCTGGGGCTGTTTATCAAATAAACTGTGAACATAAAGTGCACAGAAGGGTGCACGTTGTGTTAGTGCAGAAAAGTTGTCCCATTTCCTCCATGGAATGGACTCGTATTAACAAAAGAACCCACAGCAGGAATTGCTGTGTGCCACTTTGATTCTCAGACTAAGGCTCAGGAGCTGTGGATACTTGCACTGCAGTAAGTTTCACCCTTAATGCATTCATTTAAAATTAAACAGCATTCATAAAATGGAAAATAAACCCTTTTTCCGCCCAAGACCATGTTTTTCTTGTCATTCAGGGTCTGGCCATGCAATACAAACACAGGGCCAGAATCTGTTTCTGTGTTAATAATCCAACTGTTCTATTTGGAAAGGCTGACACACTGTGAACCAGCTAGGTGTAGTAACACTACATTTCTATAAATAAGCTATATTTTTTCGACCTTTTTGGTATGGCAAGACCCTTAACTTCCCTCTGCCATATACCTGAGAATAACACACCTGTGTTGTAACTTATCAGAATCAAATCAAAGAGAGAACATTCCTGACTCAGTTTTGAAACTCATATATATGGGCAAAATGCATATTCATAACAAGCCACAGCAATTAAAAGAGGGGAAAAGAAGCAACTACTTCACCACAGTCTCAGGAATGTTTTTTTGAAACCACCAGCTGTCTTCTACAGGCCAAAGGCAAGAGAGAAGAGAGTACCCTGCTTTTGGGTTTATGAAATGTGGGAGGAAGCCACATACCTGTGTGTGCACACGTGCAGGGGAAAACTATTTACCAAACCTATTCCATCCTATAACCTGGAATCCTTAGTAGCTGCCTGAATCTGTTCAGATTCCTTGTTGCCATCAAAAGAGAGAAAAAAAAATGGCAAAACCTCAACAACTCATCTGTTCAAGCACTGTCAAAAATGCAAACAAACACCTTCAGTCTCAGCCAAAAGGAAAAAAAAAGCCAGCTAGATACACATCCTGCATACAGAGAACATGTGCCACAGTCAGGAATTCAGGGGGAGATTTTGAGCTCCCAGAACAAAATGCAGCCCTCGACCTGTGAAGTTGAAGCAGTGCTACAGTGCAAAGGAACAAACATCAAACCTCAGGAGACAACTGCCTTGGAGATACCAGTCAAGAGTCTTACAGTTCAAATGACCAAGTTACTTTTCCTAGCCCAATGAGTCTTTAGAAAGCTCAGCTGCAGTATGTATACCAACAAAAAGAGATGAGTGTGGTTTCAAATTGAGTCTGTAACCAAATGGTCCCCAAATATATAAAACTATTTAAGTCCTAGGACAATTTTTCTCTTTTCAAATCAGTGATGTGGTCATTTGCTTTTCAACTGAGAGAACAGTTGCTGTTTCTCTTCTGAACAAACACGTATAAAAATGCACAGGACCAAACTAATGACTAAATAAATCCTAGAAAAAACTGCTGAGGCTTGGACATTGTATAGTGTACAAACAGTGTGGGCCTGTGGAGCTCTCATCCTCTGAGCTTAGTGTTGTAACACAGCTGACCTATGCTCTGCCTGAAGATGCCAGGGGTTGGTATCAATAAATTGCAGGCACTGGAACGAAGTAAACACAGGGGTTTACTCAATTTAATTGTTTGCTGTGTGGTGGCTCTTTGGGTTCCATTTTCAGATAGAGCTTTAGCACAACTGTGGAAAAAAAAAAGTCCATGGAAAACGATCCTGTGACCCTCTCTCAGGGGACTGCCATGCAGGCTGCTCTGTCTTTAATGACTACTGTTTAAATGCCTTCTCTCAACATCAAAATAAGATTATTATTTAAATACAACATACAGTAAATATAAAACTAGTCTGCAAAGGCTTTGAAAAGTGTATGGACATGCTTCACCAAAACAAGGGAATTGTGGGGAAAAAGCAGTGGCTATACTTGAAGCAATATGCAGCCTTTAAAAAAAGAAGCTGATGTGGAATTTCAATAATGCCAATAACGCCCTGCCTATCTGTCCCTCAGAAATACATAAACTTTTCTGGGAGGAATTACTTTCAGATGCTTTGCTGTTTGCTAAAGCTTTTAATTTCAAATGCCAGGCTTGCAAAAGTAGTAGGTTTGAAGTAAAAACAAACAACACAACCAGCTTGCTACTCTGTAATACCCAAACAGGAGAGAGACAGGCTTTTGATATAATGGTTTCTACAATAATTTCTTGAATTCCTGTCCCAAAATAACACTGAATGAGCTTATACTTGGATAAGCCTCTTGATTCAGAGTGAAAGAGAAATCTTACCTAGGAGACCCAGCATGATTAAATGGATTAGATGATCTGTGTCTTGTTCCCTATATCACATTTAGATAATACCTGGAAATTACTGTACATAGATTGAACTTACCTACAACTTCTATTAGGGAAGGCAGAAACTGCAAAACTCCAAACACCTCTGTGTGGGTGAAACTCTACATAACTGCTGACTGCAAGAATACAGAATGGTTTAATGAGAGCCATAACAAGTCTCTGAAACCCACAAACCCCAATATTCTAAATACAAAAAGCCCTTATGTGTTTGAGTATGGTCATAGTATGAAGTCAGCAACAATATTACTGGGAAGAGAGGCTCATCCCGAATGAAAAGCACAATCTGCCTTGCTAACTAAAGAGAAGACACATCTTCCTCTTACCATACAGCTGTGTATCAGTTTTTCATTTATTCTGTCGACTGGGTGACCATTTCAGCTTTTTATTTATTTTTCCAACTTCAGCAGACTTTGCCTTCCACTGCAATACTTCCTGCCCTCCAACCTGCCCTGCTTCTGAAACCAAACAGCAGGTGAGCACACAGAAACAACTGCAAATTGCACAAACCCACAGCACAGGTAGGGGGCAGAGGAAAGCCAACCTTGCCAGTGCAGCAGTTGTGGGTCACCAGGCATCTCTGACTACTAGAGTGTGAACAGTGTGAGGTCAGTCTTCAAGGTTCTTTGTTGCTACAGTGACAGCAAAGCCAGCCACGGCCAGCTTTGGGCTAAGGGCACTCGTTTGGCTGATGTGTATTAGCAAACAGTGTTTGGTAATGACAGTAAGAGTTTGCTGCTTAGGGATGCTCAAGAAGATGTGGAAGACTGCTCCCTTCAGAGTTAAACCTGCTCAAAGGCTGACCCAGGGAAACAGTTTTCCTGCTGAATCCAGCTGCACTGAGCTGCCTTGATGCCTGAAGCACCTCTCCTGTGGCTGCTGCAAGGCTCCAGCTCACGGCTGGCACGCACGGCGCCAGGGCAGCCGCCGGGCTGACAGGCACCCGTGGCTGCTGGGACAGGGCCTTGCTGCCAATTGCTGCTGTTTCTGAAAAGGATGGGAACTATGAGGAAAGCAGGAATTACAGCTTAAGTTCTGCTACGGCCAGAGAGAGAGAGAAGTGTTGTGAGAGCACTGCAGGGGCTGTCCCGGCAGTGCAGCGAGCGCTGTGCACACGGAATCTCTGTCCTGTGGGAGGTTTTAGCCAGGCCTCCAAGTCTGTAAATCACCGAGCATGAAAACAGGGACAACACAAATCTTAAATTAAAGGCTCTTTAAATAAGCATCCATCTTCTGCTGCATACACAATGCTTTTTTTCTTTGAATATATACATACGTATTTTACTCTAACATCTGCATATTTATTTAAACTCTGTACTGTAGTAAAATATGCATCATTTTAATCAATAAGGATTTGCTGGCGACAATCAGATTGACATTCAAACGTGGTGGCTGAAAGCTTTTATGTGCCTCTGACATACTGATCATTTCCCATGGAGGGGAAGGGGTCTCTGTGCTACTTTTGTACAGTACAATGAGCTATTGTATGAAAACAAGATCCCTCTGAATTTTCTCTTGTTGATACTGGTCTGGTCTACTTATGCTACCTTTTGGGGAGTGGAAGGGGAGTGGGATAAATATGTCTTTAAAAATGAAGCAGCTGTAACCACAAAAATGAAACCAATACTAATACAAATCTACAGCATCTGATATTTACCAACACCCTAGCTTTGCTCATTTGCTGCTGTCAGATCTGGGGAGGTGAGGCAATGCCAAAACGGTGCTGAAGGCGACCAGCTTTTACCTTCCTCTGTGCCCTACTCCCAGATCCTTTTCAGACAGGGAATGAGGAGGGTTAGGAGGATGAAGGTGAGAACTGGAGCAAGTGAAGGGGACAGCCATGGGGACAGCAAGCTGATGTGATGCCAAATCTGAATGCTGAAGCAGTTCATGAGTCCCAACTCACGTGGTCAGAGCTCTCCAGGGAGAGGCTCTTGGTCTTGTGAGGAGAAACGGGGCTGGGAGGGCTGCTGAGGTTGGAGCTGTTCGATGCCGTCGAGTGTCTTGGAGAGTCAGAGTCCTGCAGCCCAGAGACACACAAGAACAGCAGTAAGTAACAGGACAGCAAGTTTGGGGGTGACTGAGTGTCTCAGCAACAGTGGCTGGATTCAAAGGCCTCTGCGGATTTTGCTTCTGTCCAAAAATACTGAGGGATCTTTTTTGCTCACAATTTCCAAGGAGACCTGAGGTTGTGGTCAGGTCACTCTGCTTTAAGCAGGCATAAGTGATACTTATGCCAGCAGAGTGTGCAGCTTCAGGCTGCCTGTGAAGATACAATGGCTCCTGCCTTTTCAGAGATTATCATCAGGATGCTCTTGCACTAAAATGAGAAATCTTTGTGGCGTCATCACAGCTCCCTTTTCTATGTGAGCCCCAGGGTATCAATTCCAACATCCTATTGAGTTACTTGGATCTTCTAGAGTACAGCAGAATGCAACTCTGACCCTGAATTTTGGCTGACAGCTGCCTTCCAGCTTTCACACTCCTTGGTAAGAAAATGGGGAAGTTGGGTAAGTTTTGCAGTTCAGCTTCAGATTGAACCCTCCCATGTAAAACATTCTTGGCTGGAGGGACTGAGTTTAGCACTGGGCAGGATTTCAGTCCTATAATAATGGCAGTCTCAACTGCACAGAATAGAAATTATTAAAGCCAGTTCCTGCTCTAAATAAAATTATAATTCCTAAATTACTTTGTCAAATTACTTCTGAGTACAAAATGTCTCCTGTGAATGGTTGCTAAGATAGCTTATGAATCTTTGCACTTAAAGGTCAAAAGGAATATCAGCACTTCAAGACGTGATATGTCACTATCAAGCTGTTACTTGGGGGAGCCTTGCTACCCACACATCTCCAGGTAAGAATTGCAGAGAGCTTTTTCTGCATCTTAAATACCAGGACCAGAGTTGACACTTTGACCAAAGTCTTTTGTAGCTTGAAATACCGGAAATCCATCTCTCCATTGTCAGCGACTCCTGAACTTGTAGCCAAACCCCATGACAGGATTGAACTGCCTCATCTTTATGGACACCCTTGAGGTGTGTCCTGCTGCTGCTGTCACTCACCTCTCGCTCGTAGTCCCTTGTGGGTGCATCGCTGCCTTGGTCCAGGCCCCCAGAGGACAGGGACCCGTCGGAGGGCGATGCCATGGGCTGGCGCTTTGCTCCGTAGCTGCCTCCCGAGAATTCCCTCCGCAAAGCGCTGCCGTTCTGTGCCGACGACCCTACAGCAGAGGAGTTCAAACTGTGTTACACACCCCGCTCAGCAAGCTAGCAACTTGCTCAGCTGGTTCTCTGGCTTTCCTGCAGCGTGTCCCGAGGTCCCAAGCTCATGGCTTGCAGGCTCTGTGGGCTTTTATCTTGTCTCCTGTAGTTCCTGTGGATTGTCCAGTCCTTCCCTTGGCATGCCAGGGTAAGAACACTTTACTTTTTTCACTGTGTTCCCAACAAAGGTGGCAGTTGTAGAAACAGCCGTGGTGGCTGCCTAATTCAAGTGGCCCCTTTCAATACAGTGCCACTCTTTTATTCCAGCAGCCAGTTCTCTACTGCTTTATCTTTGCACTAGTGGCAAGAGAGGCATCAAGAGCTACACACAGCTCAGCAACAAAATTAATAACCATGGAGCTTGTGAACAACTTGCCACTGATTTAAAACACTTGAGCAGGAGAAAAGCAGCCCCAGGGCTAAGAATGTAATTTGAATTCTAAGATCAATCAAAAAAAATTGACAAATTACAAATGTGGGGCTCTCAAAAGCACTACCTGCTTATTCACATGCTCCTTTGAAAGCAAGATAAAATACTCTGCTGGCCCTCAGCAGCTACGCAGTCAGTCATCACTTTGCAAAATCCTTATCCAGCATGGACAGAGGCAACTGCAGGAAGCCTTTTCCCTGGAACCTGTGCCCAGCCCCCAAAGCAACAGAGCTCTGTTTGCTTACGTGCTGCTAGCCCGCTGCTGGCGCTCATGGATCGCCCTGGCTCCGTGCGGGATTTCGTGATCGACGGGATGCTGACGGAGCCGCTGAACACTGTCCGGCTCTCCTGGGGCCGAAGGTTCTGAAATGCACACACACACCACAGGTTCACTTATCCACTGCTGGCCTGACTTTGCAATTCTGTGTTGTAAGGCCCCAAAACACGTTAATCCCCCGACCTTACCAGAGCCGAGTATCTGGGCAGCAAGTCAGCAAAAATTGCAAAATAATATTCTGCAGTTTAGTGCAGAGACTGGCAGCACACGCAACGCGGCAGTGAAGTGCTGAATTACATGGACATATGCAGGCAACTGAAAGAATACATGGAATAATTCCAGAATTTCCCTGAAAGGATGGTTTGCAAGCCTAATTAAGCTGCTGTAGATATATTCAAGTTACACTGCATAACACCTTCTTTCAAGCTTCCAAGGATCTCATTACAATTTCTCTTTGATGCCATCGTTTGTGCAATAATTGTATAAATTGATACAATATCTAGGTTAAACCCTAATGCTTTGCAGAGTTATGAATAGATAGTGGATCAATTTATATAGTAATCACTTATGAAATTCCAAAGGTGTTAACAGCATCCCTCCAAATCTACACTAGATAAGCCAAAGTGAGAAGCAGCCTCCTCTTTCCAGCCTGCACAAAGAGAAGGACCAGAGCACACGCCACTGTTTTTCTATGTATTTTGATTATTGCTCCTGTTTTGAATCCTGAGAGTTCCAGTGTGACTTTTCTAAATTAATCAGCTACTGGACTGAAGTGGTCCTTTACTGAGGAGATAAACCACATTTTCCCTACTTGGATATGGCAGCTCCTCAAGCAAATTGTCTTTAAAATAAGGTGAAAGAGTACTTTGAAATGAGTTTGGGAGATTTTATTTCTGCTTCTGTTAACCTACAGCTGTCCTTAGGGGAGAAGACTTCTCAGATTATTTAGACCCTCTCTCTGTGTATGAGCTGGCTTCCTAGCCCAGGGGGACTTGCCCATGTGTGTCATTTCAGTTCTGGCTAAATAAGAGACCTCGTCCTGCTCATCAACAGAGTGTGGTTTGCACTATTAAGTCAATGCCATTAACTGGAATTAGGTTCAGGGAACCTTCATAGATGCACAATGTCAAAGAACTGCAGGTATCTCTAGGAATTACTTCCTTTATCCTTTACAGTCTCCCCCCTCTGCAATAACTGTTCGTTTCTTCCTATTTATATGTAATTACTTCCTCATCCTCACACGGAGATGAAGTAGCCATATATAAAACAATAGTTGCAATTGCAGTGCTTCTTTAAACTAGGGTGTTACGAAAATTTCAGACCAGAACAAAGATTCCACCCCCACAAGGATATTCTCAGAGAACCTTGGTACTACCAATGTGTCTATTTGTATTTTAAAATGGGTAATTACATTGAGGTTTTGTAAGGAGCAGATTTTATACAGGTCAGACTTCATCAGATAAATTTTACCAACCTGCTGCCAAATCCAATATATTACAATGATCCTTGGAATCATTGCTCTGACAGGCCCCTTTGATCTTACAGTCAACCACTGGCTTTTCATCCTCCCAGGGTGCCAGAAATGGCTGATTTTTCATGTGCAGCAAATAAGAACTAAAATCGCTCATCTCTTCCCAGATCTCTCACAAACACCAGCAAATGAAATTAGTACCTAGACCACGGAGGCTCACTCCCCTGATGATGCACAAAGGAACTGAGGGGCTGAGGGATGAGTTACTGCTGTGTTTTGAGGAAGAAAGGAAAGCCAAGTGCAGCACCACGTGTGCACTGGGGTTAGTACACTAGGGGTGCAAGGCTGCTATAAACCTACGGTGGTTCATTTTACAAAGAGAACAATTATGTTTAATGATAGGGTGATTAACCTCCTTCACACTGACTGAGCAGACAACATACAGGCATCAGGAGAAGGAGGGAATGGGTGGGTGCACAAAAAAAGACTTATTTCTTTTAACAGTGTGCTCTAAAGATGATTATTTTTTGTGAGCTCAGTTCGCAGCGTCCATGTAATTCCTCGTAGAAAGTCTCCACAAAGCAAATCTTTCATCGTTCTTTGTTCCAAAAATAAAATAAGCACATGCCAGGGCTGCTGGCATTTTGGATCAAACCTCCTGGAAGTGGTGTGCACACGATGCAGGAAGGGAATTCAAAGGAAAATAAACGGCAGTTATTAGCGGTAGTTACAAAGCAGCACAATGCAGCAGGTTAAAAACACAGAAAACAAAAGGAAACCTGAGCTTGCTTTACTTAAGAGAGACAAAAACCCCTCATTTCGAGCAACAATTCAAATCCTAGCAGGAAAATTCATCCCCACTGCTGGATCAAATAGAGAAAGATGAAAGAAGTGGGGGCAAAAGCAGCAGCAGAGAAGCTGCTGCTGAGCCAAGTGAATCACTGTGAAATAGGGTGAGGGGCCCAGATTATTGGGGTGCATCCCATTCCAGAGCCTCTGCTCCTGCTCCAGTTGCTCCCTGGGCACCTTCTCCAACACTGGGATGAGGGACAAGGTCTGACTGGACAGGTAGAGCACCCACAGGAAGTGCTCTGCCTCTGTTCCTCTGTCCATTGTGCTGCTTGTTCTTGTTTTGGGGTTTGTTTTTGTTTTAAAGTAGTGCTCTGTTCATCACACTATAAAACTAGCTTTCAACTCTTCCATGAAGTAATATGACAGACTCTAAAATCCTACTTTAACAGGTAATTTTTTAACTCCTCTATAGATTCCTGTCCTGGTTCCAGTATCTGATCCTACCTGGGACCATGGCACACCCTTCTTACACTAAAACCTCCAAATATAAAGGGAAGATGGACTGACACGAAACCAAACTCACAGCCTGGCTTTCCATACAGCTTCCAGCACCTCTACCCTCAAGGCACAAAGCAGACAAACGCTTTTCCTCACACAAGACTAAACCTCTAGTGCTCTAAGGAGCTAATAGGGCAGGATCTTCACATTTCAGGTTGCCCACTTCACTTTTTTTCCCTCCAATTTATGCTAGGAGGCTGCAACATTAGGATGAAGGATACTCCTAAAGAAAATATTGAGAGTTATTGTCCTGAAGCACCAGGGGTCATTCCTCACTGATCCCAGGCAGACTACTCACATGAGAAAGGGAAGGTAGAGGGAGGGTCACAGTCCGGTGATACATCGCTGCATATTAAACACAGACAATTTTATAGTACAGTTGGATTGAAATAACCCTGTTAAAAACCAGAACTGAAATACAGCTTCAGTGACCCTATAATGACCCTCTAGGAGAGAAACAGCTCTCAATTCAACTTAACAGTTTTTTTTGTTTTGTTTTCTTTTTTTGCATTTCAACAGAGCATTCCTCTTGTGTATTAATGGCTATGACAACTGGGACCTCACAGCAGTGACACATAGCCATGCATGTAACCAGTCAAAGCTCAGCTGTGCAAATTGGTTTTGGAGCCATATAGAGGAGATTTCTTTTTCTCCTGCATTATTAAATTCTCCCTAGAGTTGGATGCAGGTATGTTTCCAAAACCTTCCCAGTGACAGGGCTCCAGCACAGCAGCCCAGAGGCACTCGAAGCAGCCTGGCAGTGAAGGTTTGCCAGAAACCAAGAGCAATGTTCCCATGACAGCAATGGGCATGGCCTGGACTCACACAAACCCTGAGCAAATAACAGCATCACACACATCTACCTACAGGTTATTCCTGATTTATCTGTCCCAGGCAGAGCTGCAGGCTCCAGCATGGTACATAGCTGTGATGCACTGCAGGTACCTTTATGCCTGCTTCACTTTGGTTTGTATTTCTACAGGACACAGCAACTCCCAGGTAGGCAGACCTGGATGCACAATCCAAGGAAAAAAGGCAAGACCACTTTTATCCCTCCAATTTACATTGCAACTGGAAAGATGCCTACAGAACAGCATCCTACCTCAGCCTCTGCCTAAAATACCGTGGTTAAGAGGATCTACATCAGCAAGTTGCCATAACTTTAATTTCTATTCTGTTTCTACATGTTCTAATTTCATTTTTTTACTTTAACCTACAAAGTACTTGAGGCACTACCTGTGTCTGTCTCTCTCCATCCCTGTACAGTACTGTGCACAAATTCTCACATTCCACATGAATTCATCATAAACAAACAGCTTGAAAGCTTGGTCCAACACAGACAGATCCAGAACCTCTTCCTAATTCAACCTGGTACACAGCACTCTGACTGCTGGAGGATGAACACTGTGGAACAGAGAACTTATCATTCAAAACTCCAAAATCCTTCCTGGTGATTAAAAATATTATTCTCATAGCAAAAGGTTCAGGCCAAACTTTTCTTTTTTTTCTGAGGCCACGAAGTGTCTGTTTCTTGGCGTGTCAGAGCAGTGGGAAGACCCCAGCTGACAGCAGAAAGTAAATTGTTTGGGACAAACGGAACGGGAGGGGTGAAGGAACAGCTTACAAGGGGTTTTCTCCCACGTTAATAGCCAGGCAAAAGGAAAACCACACAGTGTTAGTAGAGTGAACACCTGACTCAGCCGTTCATACCCTCAGAGTGACAAAGTCTGGAGTACCGAGGACAGAGCGTGGAGACGGGGAAAATGCAGGGTTTATGGAATCATAAGAGAGGAATTTTTCAGCTGAATTAACAGTCATGTGGTAGATGTGCTCAAAGTTGCTCGGAGAGGAGATCAGACGGGAGTGATGATGAGGGAATTGATAAGGGGAACGCTGCTATCAAAGACAACAGAGAGAGAAAGCAATGAAGGATGGTTGTACAGGTCACACGGGCACCAGCAGTTCCACAAGAGCAGTGAAACACAGAGCAGGGACAGCAGACAGCAAACCCTGCTGGCTGTCAGCACACAGGGTCTGACACTGCCACCCCCAGTCCTCTGAGCACCTTCCTAACACAGTCTGATGGGCCTGCTGCCCTTGCTGTTGCTAAAACATTAGAAACAAATAAAACTTTTAACTCATTGGGAATCGATTCTAATATTTATTATTTTTTGATATTTCAAAGAGCACCACAGTTGTAAAAGGTGCTTTACAGACAGTTGAGAAGCATCAATTCCCTGCCTTGAGGAGCTTACAATCTAAAAT